TCATACAGTGTACAGATCTCTATATTCTTTGCTGATATTAAGTAAAGCAATACAATTGACATGGAATTATTAAAACAAAACATTTCTTTCTTAAATTCTATACATACTCCCACATATATTCATTTTTATGTTACAATGTCTAATATTTCTCCAAATCAACACTGCCATGCTCTGTTTTTATCCACCCTATACTGTACTTATACAGGTAATATCTGGGTCAAAATGCAATTTATACTTCACTCTTATTATACCTAGTTTATCACTCTACCCTACGTGAGCACACAATGTTCTAAATTTCGTCTGACATATTTGCTGCATACCCTAATATTACATATCCTCAGTTCAGATGTGTTTTCTCTGTACAGTGTTAGTCTTTAATAATACAGAACAGAGCAAGGCCAAAATTCTACCAGGAACCTTACTCCAGGATAGAGATGTTCCCTAATTCCCTACTTGCTAACTCCTCTACTTTCCCTTCTATTGCGCCCATATTTCTAAATATCATCCATAGGGAATATATAAGTTATTCTTGAGTCAATTAATCAAATCCTGATATAATGACTTGATAAAGCCTGTAGGTTTTGATTCACTCTTTAGGCCAATTTTCATTAGATGTATATGTTACGGTCAGCACTGATGTTCTCTGGAGATTGGATGAAAGGAAAACCTGTGGTCAAGGAGTTTACCATATAGGGTGAAAAACACCCTGGAGCTGATGACTGCCGTCACCTATTAGAAACATGAGAGGCAGTTATGGAACTGTGAACGGACAGAGTGTGATCATCTAATCAGATCCACATAATTGCCTGGCAGTGTGCGTCAGTCACAGTGCACTTGCCTCGAATGCACAAGACCCTGGGTTCCAACCACAGACCCTCCAAAAAATTAGGAAAGGTTTCCCAAAGGAGCTATTAGGATGTAGGCTGGAATTGAGTCTGAGTCTGAACGTCGTGAGTCAGGTTAAAGTGCTGAGAGTGTGGGCCTGGTAGTCCTCAGAGAGGTCTGGGATGGACACCCAGGCTTAGAAATCAGCTGTGAATGTGATGATTTCATGGCTGTTGACACGATTGTTTCAGGACCACTGAGACAGGAGCTAAGCAGACAGGCAGCGGACGCTGACCTTTTAGGTGAGGGAAGAACACCTGCCGAGGTGCGTGTGGAGATGGGGCCAGGTGTGCACGATGAAGCGGCAGGGGCATGGATGGAGCAGACATGGGAGGTGCTGAGACTCACATGTGTGGATCCAGGAATCTGAGCCTTTCATGGAAGGCTAAGGAGCCCCTCGAAGGGCTCAGTGCTGGACTGACCTGATTGGATCTGAGAGCTGGAAAGGACGCTGTTGGCTCAGTGGGGAATAGGGGCCCATGGAGGAAGACAAGAAGCAGGGACATCAACAAAGAGATGAGAAGAGCAATAAAGCAAGGTCCTCGAGGAATAAAAGCCAAAGAGAGATTCCAGAGGTGGTAAAGGCTAAACTGACAAGTCTAGGTAACTATAGAATTTGAGAAGCTCAAGTAGAAAGACAAGGTCTAGCCCAGCGACAGCGAACCTGTTAGAGACCACGTGCCCAAGCTACAACCCAAGCCCACCTATTAATCACAAAGCGCCAACACTGCAATTGAACCTGAACACTGAGGTTTTACTTTAGAAAACACAGCTGTTATCCGACGCTCAGCTGCGGGGGCACCTGGCTCTGGTGCTGACACAGAGGTTCCGTGTGCCTGAGGTGACGTGCACACCATAGGCTCGCTACCACCGGCGAAGCTGGTCCCCAGGCTTTTAGTATGCATGGCGAAGGAGCTGGGGATGCTATTCCACACTGTGTTATGAGTGGTGGGGAGGGCTTCTGGATTCAGGTTTTATCATGTTTGGATGAGCATGAGCTCATGGTAGGACAGCAGGATGGATGGAGGTGGCACTCCTCAGAGAGGACTGAGCTGGACACAGAGACCTAGGAGCTGTTAGTGCTGGTGATGATTCCAGCCATGGATCTGGACAAAATCAGAGTCAGAACAGAAAGCCAAAGGGAAGACCAACATATTCAGGTTAAAGACAATTGCAACCTACACATTTTGTAAAAAGTAACTGTGTGCAAGGACTTGCCTAAAATACTTCTAGTAATTTAAGATGTATTTATTTGTTAATCCATACTAATTTTCTACAAATTTTGGAAGCCACCTCATTAGGTATTTCATTAGCCTTATAATGCTACTTCACTCACACATCAAAAAAATAAGGACTAACATCATCACTTTATGATTTTCTAGCATTTCGAAACAATGCAGGTTTAAAGAAATGAAATGAAGAGGCTAGGAAAATTTCTGATCTAATTTGAACTTAACATCAAAATTAAACCAGAAAGCAGACTCTTAGAGACGGGGAAGGGGGCAGGGGAGAGAGGGCAGAAAGAGAGAGGGATGAAAATCACCAAGTCATGTCATCAGCATGTACCAATACACCAAAACAAGCCCTATGGTTCTGTATTACTAATATGCACAAATACTGTAACATTTAAAAAATAATACTGTAGAATAATAAGGAACCCAAGTCCTTTATTTCTATTTCTTATGTATTTTAAAACATATCTCCTCTATTTATAGCCTTTGGGAGAAACTTCTGCTATAACCAAAAAACTGGAAGACTTCAGTCTTGTTTTTCATAAATTAACTACTATATCTGTATAGTGCCACTGCTTCACCAAAACCACTCAAAAAAGCTGTGTAGTATATTTAACTATATTGAGAAGTATTACTCTAGTCTACCCCTAACTTGTGGACTTTGTAATCTCAAACACTCCTCTTAGTCAAGATGATTTATATATAATCAATTTACAGAAGTTGAACGGACTAGATCATTTTATAACCCTAAGCCATTTACATATTCATTCACAGCCCACTGTTGTAGCTGAGATGCTTAATTTGGTGTCTGAAGAACCAATTACAACCAAAGATCACCCTAATGTTCTGAAGTTCATAAGTCAGTGGTAAGTAAGTCAGGTTCTTAATAAGATCCTCAAAAATACACAACTCTTAATTCTCCAAGATTCATCTGCTTTTTAAAAATCCAGATTTTTGGCACTGTCACCATTCCAACTATTGATAAAGCATTATCTAGTCTCACAATTGCAAAAAATAAACTCAATTTAAAATTATGGTAGAAATTTCAAAGACAACATTTCAATTAATTGTAAAACACGTCTAAAACACTATGATGCGGGCTTATCAGGAATACATGGTTCCTTGCACTTGAAGATTAAAGATTCCCATGTGTACCAAAGAGAAAGTTTATCACTTCACTCTTTGTCTTCTGAATTGGGCTTTAAAAGTCTGTCCTAATAACTATCCACAGCACAAATGCAAATAGTCTGGTTTTATTTGTAAGGTAATTTAATAGTGGATTTGTGAGAAGAGAAAGAATGTGCTCCACACCACTCTTGGAGAATGCATGGTAGTTTAAGACCTGCTGACCAGGGTTGAGGAGGTAGCTCACTGGCACCGCGCCTGCCTGGCAAGCACAAGGTCTGGAGTTCGATCCCTGGTACAAAAACAAAAAAATTTTTAAAAAAGTTTTCAAAAACTTGCTGCCCAGATCTTCCTGACAACTGGCAGGAGACTCTGATAAGGGTGTGTGGGGAGACAGAAGGCCCCCGCTCCCCGCTGAAGGGAGCCTCATCACCAAGCCCACTGCTCCACACAGGGTCACCATGCCTGAGAACTAACACACAAGCTCTCTGAAACTTGAAATCACATCCCCTCCCTTGGGAAAAGTGAGACACGCAATGCCCAGCTAAGTAACACTGCTAAGTTATAGCTCCGACCGTGAGGCCGGTGACCTTTGCCCACTGGGGCTCTTACAACCCTGAACACTACCGCCGGCTGATGCCCACCTGGGAGCATGACCGAGGAGGGACACACACAGCATTCAAGGCCACTGTGTTTGACACCCAGAAATCTGGCCTGACCCCAGAGTGCTGAGTAAATAGGACTAACAAAGGTAAACTCGGGTGCTATTCCTTAATATGGAACTTTATATCACGTTAGGCTTTTTATCTCCATGACGCTGTGTCCAAACCTCTAGCCTTACACACTCATGCGAATGGCAGCTCAATGTCCTTCCCTATACAACATCTCCCAAAATGTTTCCTACAGACCTTTAGTAACGGAATTTTATGATGATGCTGACATACAGTGTGGGCTATGAGCAATGTGACATGTAGGCACTTTTAGTTGAAAAATGACCTGTAATAGCAAATTAATTTTTATTACAGATCACTGAATATGTTGTGCTATTACATAAAACACATTAAATTTTCTGAGAGTTATGTGTATTCTGTTCAACTGCTCTATTAGCTATTATCTGCTTTTATTCACCAGTAACATTAGCCCTGCCTATAAAAAAAAAAATCCAAGCTGTAAAACTTTATCTTGGGCAGGTATATTTAAATTAATATTTTGTTTTTACAAGGAACTTCACATTTAGAGATATTTCTTTTGATACCCTAATCTCCTAATGTAAATCTCTTACAAACACTGAGATAGAGATCTTATCTACCATGTGAATTTCCTGCTGTCATATGTCAATGTAAACTAGATGGACTGTGAGGTCATAGTTTAGCTATCAAATTTTAAAGAATATCCATTTTGTATTATTTTTTTAAATCAACTTTCTGAGCTAATATTTGCTCCAAACATGCAATTTCAGTATCCAATTAAAGTAGCAGATTTCGCACAAGAAAGCGATATTACCTTTTTTTCTCATTTTGCAAATGATGAGTGAAAATTATATAAACCCGCAACAAAAGTGAAATTTTATAAAACTACATCATAAACACAAGGAAGTGCAGCATTCTAAAACCCCTTTACCCTGTCATTTTCTACCCGCGAAACAAATGAGTAGGGAATCTGACAGGAGCAGCTGTGTGGGTTTGGGTTCTCACAACCACCGTGGCTTTGCAACCAAACCGCTTCTCCGTATAAGAAGGTAAGACCTGGAGGACGTACGATGGGCACAGATACTGCTTCTTTTTCCCCTTCCCTTTCTTGGAAGACTTTTCTTTAGAATAGGCTTCTTCAACCCACAAAGCAATTAAAATAAAAAAGGCGATTGCCAGTAAAATCTTCATCTTGACAAATTAAATTTCAGGAGCTCGATCTACAAGAGAGAACAAGAAAGTGTTTACATTTACGAAGCAAATGATACACACGACTGTCCTTCTACAGCACCTAATGACTATCAGGCAAAGGGCAAGCACGTCTGTATTTCCTATCCTCTTCGCTCAGTTCTGTGTGGCTACGCATCACTATATATTAGATTCCCTTTTATATAGTAGCAGTAGAGTCTCTTTTTATATAGTAGTAAAAGTCAGTTTAAATAATGGCACATAGGAAACAAGATTCCAATGAGGTATACTAGGTTACTGTTATAAAATTTGACTCTAGGGTTATAAAAATTATAAATTGATACCAAATTGGACACGATGTCCAAACTCGCTGAGAAAGATTCCAGGAGAGATGGTTAACACAGTATTAAAATGGTTATCGCCAATGAAATATTGAAATTATTTTTGTCTTCTTTTAAAATGTCTATACTATTTTAATTTGGTATGTATCTTTTTTCAAAAGCAATGAAGCTATTTTATTATGAAATGACTGGCAGAGGTAAAGAACAATTGGTATCAAAGAGCCTCGCCCTCTGAGTTGGTGGCACGGACCACATCTGCGAGCTGCTCTTCACCCCAGAGGCGCCTGCCCTTCACCCGGTCCATGCGCAGCACCGCAGTCCGGCCCTACGGCGCAGCAGACCCCAGCCTTTCCGCGAACACCGCTGCTACGGACATTCGAGGTCGGGACAGAAGGCGCTGCAGTGTTCTCTGAGCTGCACTCTAACCGCGTTATTCACGCTCAGCTGAGAATCGTGTCTAATGAACTAGCCAGCGCCTGAGCCTGCCCGGCAGCCTGGGCCTCGCAGCCCTCGGTCCGCGGACGCAGGCGGCCCGCTCGCTCCGCCGCCTCTGCAGAGGCCGGGCCCGGCGCGCTGGGGGCCCCGCTCCCCGCTTCTGCTCCCGCCCCCGGCCCCCTCCCGGCCCCTCCCGGCCCCCTCCCGCCCTTACCGCAGCCCGGCCCGGCCCCGCTCCCCTCGCCGCCCGCCGGGAGCGGTGACCGCGGCGCGGACCGAGAGGACGACAGGTGATCCCGCGACGCGCCGAGGCGGGCGGACGCTCGCGATCCCCCGCCCCTCCCAGCCTGACGTCTCACCCTAGCCCGGTGACGGCGCCGGACCCAGATTGGTCGGCGGAGCGCGCGGCTCCTCCCGCCGGCGGCGTGCAGTGCCGGCTGCGCTCCAGGCTGCGGGTGCTGAGCGCTGGGGCGCAGTCCGCCTCGGCCTCCCTCGTGCGGGGCTCCTTCTTGGCCGTCGAGACGCGCGTCTCCAAGGGCGCCTGCGGACTCCTAGCATGTGTGCTCCTGATTTCTCTTAAGCAAACAGCCTTGGACGCTGCACTGCGAATCTGAGATGCACCCACTGATAGCCTCCCCCGCTGAGCACTGTGCCCAGATTGGAGGGCATTAGGGAGCCATCGCTGTTTCCCTCGCCAAGTGGCCCTTACTTTACCTGAACAGTGGCTCTCCTCGAATGCTTCCCGGTGGGGTCAGATCACGGCTTTGGAGTGCAAAGATTTATACACCACAAGGGTACCCATAACACACATTTACGAATTAATTTTTGCAGAATATGCCACGTAAGGTGGGACAAGATCATTGGTTTCCGTGTAACCACACCAGTTCAGAAACTGAAGACCACCTTATACCTAACTTCCAAGTAATAGAAGAATGAATAAGTTAGGAAGGATGGGATGTTTAGATTCCTGTGCTTCCTGCTAGGGTCTCTGGCTTTGGCCCCTGCCCATAGTCGGATGGAGAAAGAGGCTATTTGTAAGAAAAGCACCTCTGATTGTTGGAATGGACCTGTGGGTTGCTTTGCCCAAAGATGAGGAAAGACAGTCGAGGACCTAAGAGAGTCTCTTCCAGGCCTGCGGAGGAATCGTGTCTATAGTGCAATTTTTTTCTATGAAATAATCTGCTTATCTGAATTTATGCAGCCGTTTTACATTATAATATGAGAGAGGGCGGTTCTAAAATGGTAGCATGAGACCATCTATTTCCCCCCATTCTCTCAAGTGTTGGCCCACTTCATTTATCTACATCCACTCTGTTTGTGACTTCATCCACCAGCATGGTTTTAGGCACCGTGCGGACGACTCTCAAATTCTTCCCCAGATGGGCCTCTGCAAAGCTCTGCAGTCTCTCTCCAGAGGGCTTCTCAACATTTCGCCTTTCACATTCAATACAGTGCCAACGCCAGCAAGTCTGGAACTGAACAGTGCTTCTCCCGCGCTTGCTCCACCCTCTCCCTCCTTCTCGGTCAACAGCTTCACGGAAGCTCGCATTGCTCGGGCCCAAACCTACAAAGCTGTCCAAATTTTCTCTCCCAGTCCTTGGAGAAGTCCGGTTTGCTCTGAAATTATACCAGAATCCATTTACATTTATTTTTGGTTCAGCCTACCTGGACGGAGCCGCCATCATGTCTAAATGCCCTCCTGCTTATCCATGCCCTCCCTCATCTCCCAGTCTTCCCAGCAACGCTGGCAGAGTGGTCCCCTCCAAATGTGTCCTGTCGTGTTAGGTCATTCCTCACCTCAAAACCCAGAGGGGAATCCCCCAGTGAGATGAGAAACCAACCTGTGTGCCGTGGCCTTTCACCCAGGTGTCCTTACCTCCCGAAGCAATGCTGACTTCTCCCCTCCGCCCTTGCCTGCTCCGCCCCAGGCACTCTGAGATACGGACTTCCCATATTGGCTCCAGCTGTTCCCTCTGCCCCAAAAGCTCCTCCCCGGACCGCAGATAGACACTGATCTCCACCCTAACATCTTCAATTCGCTCAGCCAACACCTTGTCGTGGAGGGACACTGAGAAGTACAAACTCTCCCCATCCAAGGATTTCTGACCCCTTTTAACCTGCTTTTCTTCTTCCTTTCCATAGTACTTACTGCTTTGTATCATACAGTATACTTATAATATGACATTGCAATGCTTTCCTAGCTAAAATTTTAGCTCAGTGTCCATTGATGTTTCCCAAGTTTCCCAAAGGTGGTGTTGAATGAATAAAAAATAAATCTTGGCCTAGTTACTGAAGACCTTTAAATCCCATGTTTCCTTATCAGCACAATGAAAATAACAATGCATGATTTGAAGGATTGTTCCAGGAATGGAGCAGGTTAGTAATTGGCATCTGGTGCAGAGAAGAGAGGCTGCAAAGAAACTTCTGCTTCTGTTTCACTTTGCTTAATGGAATGACAGACTTTTGATGATGGACGTTTTCTGCAGAAGTTTATGCAGAGGTCTCGGGAAGTGATTGGATTAGGTCATGAGTGTCTAGCCCTGGACTGATTCTTAATGGCTTTATAAGGAGCAGCACAAGCATCACACAGACAGAAGGATGGGGTTGGATCCCCCTGCCATGGTACGATGGGTGGGAGGGTTAGCGGTTTAGCGTGAACTTGTGCTGTTCCCTTCGGATCTCTACCCCACAAAACTGTGAGCTGAATAAACCTCTTTCCTGTTTAACTAGCTTGCACAGGTGTTTAGTTATAGAAATAAAAAGCCGACTAGTAAGAGTGCCCTATTATCTATTTCTACCTTTGGTTCTTTTCTTTACATTTATGTTTGAAAAGTTTTGTAGCCCCATCTCAAAACACTGAATAGGAATCCTACTTTCCAAGTACCCAGACATAGCCCGTTATACATTAATTTTATTTCACTTGGCCATAAATCCTAAAAGCAGATCTAAATATTGTGTGTTGGTTCAGGAAGTCAAACACTGGAAGAAGAGAGATGTTTTCCTATAAATCATTTTTTATATGATGTAACTACTTTCTGCCCTCGTCACTGCCCAAATAGCCTTAAAGAATAGTGTTATCTTTCTTTTATATGAATCTTATTTATCTCTAATGATAGCCTGAATTGTAATATTCATGAGATTTTTATGAAAACTTCAGTCCATTTGCCAGTATAAGCAGATATTTGCAATGAAGACATGTTTTCTTAGTTACATTTCACATTGCTGAGACAAACTACCTGACACCCAAAGATAAAAGAGGAAAGGTTTACTTGGCTCACAGTTTGTAGAGGTTTCAGCACATAATCGGCTGAGTCCATGGCAAGATGGCACATGGCAGAGGGGAAACAGTTCATGGCAAGCAGAAGGCAGCAAAAGCAGCAATCAGCAAGTGGCAAGCAACAAGGGACCCCAGTAACCCTCTTTCTTTGCCTTATATTTTATCCAGGCTGCATCCCTTTAGGGTAGTAGTGCTCACACCCAGGGTGGGACACCCTTAATCTTACTCAGAAGTATGCCAAACCAATCCGTGGACTGATTTAGTAATCACAGTCTTGATCCCAGCACCACACACTCTAGATCCAGCCACCTCTGAAAAGCCCCACCTATGACTGTATGAGGCTTTGGGGGACATCTAGACGCAAGCCATAACACATATCCACCTGTTTCTGATGGTTTCTCCAATTCATCACCTTTAACTTTTTTCAAAATAGATAATGAAAGTATAAATATAGATAAAGAGAGGATTACACAAAGATGATGAAAAAATGGGTTGGTTATTCAGCATCTTCTGAGCACTATTCATAAATTTAAAAAACAGCAAGAATTGACATTAAAGATGTTGATGAGTCAGAACTTGCTAGACTCTGGATCTAGAATGTCCTCATGGGAGAAAGCTCAGTCCCCAGCCTGGGACCACAGGGAGGTGGAGGAACCCCAAGGAGGTGAGACATACTAAAGTTTGGTTGTAGGACTGTGCCGTTGAAGGAAATTGAGATGTGGACCAGTCCCTCTGTCTCTCTTGGTCATGACTTATGTCTAGATGAGCCCCCAAAGCCTCGTGTGGTCATAGGTGGCTTTTTCAGAGGTGGCTGGATCTAGGGTGTGTGGTGCTGAGATCAATTCATGGTTCAGTGCTAGGATCAAGGGCACTAGGATTACCGGGAGTGAGTACTACCTGCCTTAAGTAGTCTGGATAAAATAAGAGACAGAAGGATACTATTAAGGTCC